TATCTTTTGAAGGAAATACTCGCAAAGCAGAAATATACATTTTATGAAACAATTAACAAGATGTGGTAGACTCGCCTTCGATCTTGCGTACAAAATAAGATGAAAAGGGTGAATCTTGAAGGGAAATATACCTAATAAACTATAAACTTGTATTTTTTTTATTATGTCATTTTATTTCAAAATTCAGATTCTAATAAATATATTTCGGGTAGTTAAGTTTCAAGACTATTCGGGTAGTTAGGTATGTATATAGGCTTAAAGATGTAGAAATTAAAAATTTAATGTAACATAATATATTTTTGAAATATTAAAACAAAAGATTTAAAAAAAAAACAAGTTTATATTTTATTGTGGTTCACTCCAATTGAAATCTCTATTAAAATATCAATTAAATATAGACCAGGGCAGGCCTTTGAAAATGGCAAAAAGTGAAAAAAATAATAATAGTACAGTATAATGAACGATAAAAATCGTACAAGGACGAAATACCTTCGCCGGAGCTTAGCTTTAAGGAAAATTAATACGTAATTAAAATAATGACATTCTAGTAGGTTTATTTGATAACAGAGTTTAAACCTTATGCTATTTAAGTAAGTATCTAGCAAACGTCAACGTGAAGAAAAGTACTTTATTTCGCAGAGTAATGAAGGTTAAAAATACAAAGCCAAAATATTAAAAAAAATTCAAGGTTCTTAAGAAATTATTTTCTTAACACCATAAAATGTAATACTCGTACCTAGGTAAGCACGTATTTGATAAAGACCAGATTGTGTTTACGAATTTATTCAACTTTGACGAATAATAAAACCTATAGAAAAAAATTAAAATGCATTTTTTGTAGTTAAATATTTAAAAATTCACATTCCATAATATATAAATAAATGAATTGGTACAAACCCCAGATGATTTGTCAACCGCCATTGTGACGTGAAAAAAAATTCATAAGTGATGTGTTATTTGTAAATTGTACAACTTTCACGTAATACACAAAATGTACGCCGAGTATGTGCGTGCGCAAAGACGAGACGAGCGTGTGAATAGTAGTCGTGATCACAACTAACAGGTAGTCCTACAATCATTATCGCGCGTGTCAATTGAGCTCAGCAGTCAGCGATGAAGTTAGCCATTTTGCGATGATGCTTGTAAATTATTTATTCTTATATTCTTTTAATCAAGTGAAGGACTTTTTCATTAAAAAATAATTTGCAATAAATAATTCGTTGTTGTCCCGAACAGAAGGTTAAAGAGCTGATAACCCTGTTGCATCATCACGGGGATTTCCGGAGACCGGACATTTTACTTGCAAGAGTACCTATATATAGCTCATAGTTAATCGTGATAATAGAATAATACTAATATTATAAATGTGAAAGTGTGTTCGTTTGTTTGTCTTTCTTTCAAGTTGAAACGGAGTGACGGACTGGCGTGATTTTTGGTATAGAGATAATGGAAGAGCTGGAGAGTGACATAGGCTACTTTTTATCTCGGTAGATCATCTCATTCCCACGGGAAACACGTTATAATACAACTCAAAAAAATTTTTATGAACAGAACTACTCAAAACTTGGTATTAAATTAATGCTCTTCAATATAATTAAGAAAATACGCGTTTTAGCATTTTTCGAAATTCATCCCATTAGAGAGTAAAATTGGGGATGAAAGTTTGTATGAAACCTACCTATCTAATCTTTATATAGTTTTAGCGCGAGCGAAGCCGCGGGTTCTGCTAGTATTTTATAAATAGTTCTACACACAAGCTGTACAGTGTACACGTAAATAAATACACTAAAAAGTAAAGTTTGCAGCTGGTTACTTCATTACAGGTCACATTTTTATAAGTTAAGTTTATAAATCGCCGCACGTGGTTTTGGTTGAGAGCGAAGTTAAGATGAGGGATATTTTCATGTGGGTAGTAGTACCTTCTCTATTCACATACTTAATCACCCGTATGTATGTTGTACGTTTCAGTTAAGCAAAATAATTTTAATCAATTTGTCAGATATCTAGTAATAGAAAATATATGGCTGGCTTATCTACACTAATATTATAAAGAGGAACGATTTGTATTTTTGTGAGTTTCTAACGAATAAACTCAAAAACTACTGGACCGTTTTAGATGAAATTTGATAAGAAGATAGTTTGAGACCCTGGGAAGGACATAGGATATTTTGTTCCAAAAATCATTCCTTAAGCGGGTGAAAATGGAGATAAAAGTTTGTCTGGCGAATCAAGCTAGGGACGACGCCGAGCGAAACGAGGCTGAGTCGCTAGTCTATACGTATAACAAAACAGTAACTTAACGAAATCGATGTGCGCGTTTCACGCAAAAAGTACTGAACCGACTTTAACAAAATTTTGTGTAGTGATAACTTATTACTTGGATCAACATTGAGAACAGCTTTTACTATATGAAAAACTTTCCTTCCGACGGAAAAACACAATAACTGGTCCTATCGAATCGTTCTTAAGCATGTCAAACACTGGCTAAACCTTAAAGAGATACTTCAAAACAATATATAAAAAATTGTAGGTCTTAAATCTTAATAACATACTGCTTCTTACTTTTTACTGCTGTTTTTTTAAGATTGAATTGATTTTCTTTTTTTTATGTGTTGGTTGTACCACAAGGGCGAGACCAGCATATTAATTTCAAAATTATATTCCACCATTCAGGAAGGGTTAGGATACTTTATTAACTGTTAACCATTCGTCGAGTATCTCGCTGGCTCTTCCCAGAAGAACTGCTTTCCGAGTCGGTGTTAGCTTTCTCCACGGACTGATTACATTGACGCTCTTTAAATTATATTGACGATTCAAAAGTGCTTATAATAAGTCTAATTGAATAAAGTTTATTTTATTAATTCATTTCATTCAAGTGTTGTTTTATCGCAAAAAGAGAAATCATTTCTCTACGAGATAAATTATATAATAATAGGTTTTGATTGTCACATGTCTCGAATATTATTATATAATACATTACTAAACTCGCAGACGTTCTTCTGCCTTTTTTAATATATGAAATTTACAACGCCCACGGCTCCTCATACCCTACGTCGCGCAACTCTGCCCGCCGGCGCTATTGCTTTGTTCTCGTTAAGCGTACTTTCTGACCTACACATTGTATGGTAAATGGTAATTGCTCCGCTCAGCGTGATGTTAGATAGTCTACATATAATTTTCCTAGATATAAAGGCTACAAAATTTAAACATATTTTTTCAAATCTGACTGGTAATTTCAGGGATTAGTGCGTTGAAAAAAATAAAAACAACAATATCTTCAGATTTGTAATCTATACATATAATAAAATGCTGAGTCGAATCTGTACATTAAACATTTTTTGGAAAATCTTATTGAAATAGTCATTATTATCGATACAGAGGCCGAATCTATAGTTTTTTAAAATTTTGTCTGTCTGTCTGTCTGTTACCGTATCAAAAGAAAACCACTGGACATATACCTATTGATGAAATTTGGTATGATGATAGCTGGTTATCCGGGTCAACATATAGGATACTTTTTACTGCGGTAAAATATCTCATCTTTCTTTGTTTGTTTCTTTCTTTTTTTGTTTGTTTGCTTCTACCGAATAAGGTTCTAAACTATTGAACAGATTTAGATGATATTTGGTAAGAAGATCTAGTTTGAGACCCTAGGAACATAGAAAGTTTTATTACGGAAATCATCCCTTAAGAGGTTCAAAATGAGGATGAAAGTTTGCAGGGGGAAGCAACTTAGGGAGTAGGGAATAACCCTAGCGAAGGTGTGGTGAGTCGCTAATCAAGAGTCTATAATATTTTCAGAATTTGTAATGTATTGAAGTCAGCCTTTAAGTAAACAAAAAGATCAATGTTTAAGTAACACTTATATTACAATACAATATAAATATTTTTCTAATGTAATAATGACTACAACTATTGTAAAGTTAACGGTATTAACTTCACCGTTAGAGCAACATTTTATAACCCAATTAATGGACTTGAGATGTTATTAAGGTTTGTAAAAAATAGATCCCGATAAGATATATTCTGGTTTTAAAAAATATTCTCAGCAATTGAAAGTGAAACAATGTTTTATAATTAAGTAAAATCCCGTAATTTTACTGATGAATGAAAAATCTCTTAAAAATCAATGACATTTTAATACTACTAGGGAACATGCTATGTAAAGCCGTCGGACCTGCGCCTTAACTCTCTCCGATCGTGTCGAGCAGTCGTCCCACCGAAGTATGGGAGTGACAGGAGTAGAGAATGCACTTGTGTCTGGGTGCACATTTGTGTACTATAATATTTCCTGCGCAGTTGGCTAGTCTCAATGAGATTGGTCGCCGTGGCCGGAATTGGTTAGGAGGACATTATTGTTATTATTATGTCTGTGTGCATTTAAGGCAAAAAGTACTGAAGCGATTTTAATTAAATTTTGTGTATTGATAACTTATTGCTCGGGTCAATATTTAGGATACCTTTTAATACAGGAAAACTTCTCCTTCCCATTACTGAAAACACAATATTGGACAACCGAGTTGTTTTAAAATCATTTCTTAATTTAAGGACATACCAATTAGTTATAACCCGTAATTTTGCTAAGAAATAACGAATGTTTCGTATACCTACTTTTCTATACCTAAATACATATGTATGTATATTTATATAGCCCATCCTTTAAAATGTACCTAGTACTAAACGTAGCTAGTAGTATATAAACTTATTTTTACCATCAATAAGGTAAATGGTGTGGATGTGGATGCATTTATATTTAACCTTACAAATTACATAAATGAAAACAACTAGAATTTAGTTTTAAGATCACAATGTAAGAGTTAGGCTCGAAGTTTTCCTATTTTTTTAATCTTATCGCGCATAATCATTCAAACTGTTTGATAAACGAAATAACAAAATTCGCAATGCAATACTTAAAAGTTAAAACCTATGTACCTACTTTATATCACATTACACTCTACAATAAGAAATGAGAGCATACGAATAATATTAATTTTACGTACTTTATATGTTTTCCTTCGATATAAAAGGCTCGATTCTTGCGTATACGGGGCATCTTCAATCTCCATAATAACACTTTACTTTTAAGTTTGATCACCAATTAATTTACGCATAATGAGTGGTGCAAGGTAAAGGAAGGTTAGATAAGGATGTAGTTACATCGAGAACTATTTATATAACGTCTCTCATGTACTAAGCCTGAAGAGTCAAGATTTCTTTTATATAAAATGACACGTAGTAGGTATGTATACAGAGTTACAATGCACTATGCATTCTATAATAGGTGCGTCATTCTATAGTAACACTTCTACTCGAAATCTACCTATAATATAGGATTTGATTTGCGCGGGTTATTTGAAATTTATGATTATGAAATTATAGTTAAGAGAGTTGCTTTATTTAACCTTACACAAAAACTGTTCATTAGAATAATACATATAATTTTATTCCAACTAATCTAAAAAACCAACATCTAAAAATTCCATTAAATAATTGAAAGATTGTAATAAAAAAATATAAAAATTTGAAGATATTTTGTAACTAAAGATCCCGTAACGCTTCCTAAAGGTTTGGCTCATAGAATGCCAAGTTGATGTACTTGACATATTATTATGACGTTTTAATTGAAATACGTGTTCTGAGCTATTCTTCATAATCTTTCCCTTAAATAAGCTCTTAGAAATATATTTTATGAACAATAATAACAGCAAGCTCTTCTAGGCGCAGCTGGAATTAACTTTGTTGGGTACGTTTGCGTGTAAACTGTTTTCTTGGTAAATGGATTGATAGGCTCGGATATAGCCCGATGCTTCACTTCCATGTTAATGCGAGCATATCTATCACCCTTCTCTTCTTCTTTTCTTATAAGAATATAATAAGGTCGAAATTCGTTTGCGTACATATTTCTTAATTTTAACACTGTTCTAGATTTTACTTCTTTATTAATTTTTACGAATATGTCATATTTTTTTGGGGTTTATAGCATGAAACATCTCACGTCAGAAAAAATAAATGCGTCCTATCAATAGAATGTTACATGTACATACATGGTGTAATTTTTTTTAAATGAAAAAAGGTTTCATAAATATTGTCAGGATCACAATGAAAGGATTTAATTATTAATATTATTAAACCTACGATACACAGGTAAGGCATAAAATTATAAATTATAACTAGGTATATATGAGTATATAGAGAAGTATATATGAGTATAATGGACTCAGGAGTCATCCTGAGTCCAGTTGGAGCTGACACAGATGGATGATTATGACTGAGAGCCGAGTGCACAACATAGCTCATTCATTGGATAATTTATTCAGTTATAGCTATCTGACGTACTTTTAGTCTAAATTTAGCTCAAAAACGTTAATACATATATGCTAACTCCTTTGCAATAAAAGATGTACCGTGTAAGTATTAGATAAGATATCAAGAGAGTTTATCAGGGCCCGGGAGCTAATGCTAATAAAAAGTTTACTATCTCTACGAAGCTATCTAGAGAAAGAATTCGGAGCAAGCAAGTCTCTTATACCTAAGTCGTAAATACTAGAAGTGAGCTAAAAAGGATGCTATGTAAATGATCGAAGCAGATGAAAAAGTCATTTCATCCCTTAAAATTTTTCTCAAGTTTACAGTCAGCAACTAACGCATATAGGTAGGTATTACCACGGTAATGTTACATATACATTACCGTAGTATTACATTTTCACTGTTTATTTTACGCTCTGTGTTCTATTCTTAAAGAAATTATTCTTAACGCTATTTTCTTATTATATATTTAATTTTTAATAAAAAAATAAAACAAGAAATAGCCGTTACATGTCAATATTTATTTCGACACCGGTTACAGATCTTCGTTGTAGTTGTATGGAATATATTTTGCAATTGATATAAAAGTGACACTTGTACATCCTTATTCTTCAAAGCGGGATTGTCATTGATTTGTTTGAAAATTTCATGTATTTGCGGTGCCAGAGTATTTTCCTTTTTAAAGAATGCCTTCTTTATGGATATTTTATCCCCATGTAACTTGCTACAAGCCTGTCAGATAATAACTTATAATAATGAATTTGAATAATATTAACGTTTTCATTACAATTACCGACCTATATAGACAAATTTTCCAAGAAATATCAAATAAACTACTTTGCAAATATATTTATAAATGAGAAATAAGTGTAAATGAGAAGTGAAAACATTAAAACAATGAAGTGCTGTTTATTAATCTGATCATAAATTTCCTTTTAGGCAAAGAAATTTTAACATATTGGTCTGTAAGATCTTCTCGTACATCACGCGCATTGCATATGGTACACTGTAAAATTAAAATTAAACTATAAAAAATTTTAAATATTATTTAATAACCTTTTCGAAAATTGAAATTAGTAATAATAATTAAAAAAAAACTTGCAGCTTAGGATAGGTTGTACCATTATATATAGAAAGAAAGTTATCTGACATGGATAATAGACAATCATGAACAATTTATAATATATCTAGTTAAGAACAATATTACAATGAAATTTACTCTATACTTACCGCATTAGCAAGGTAAATAAATATGCAAAGCATTCCAATCCAATATAACCCCTTTTTAAACATCTTCACAATGTACCTACTAACCGAAATTACGGACAAAATGTTCAAACGTTCAAATAATACATAAATCAAGTTACCTATTTTATTACAAGCTCGATATCAGAAATATAATATTACACAATACCAATAACAAATACATATTATGTATAAGAAAGAGCGGTATTTTAGTTGATTTTTTTTAATAATTTTTTTTTAAATTTTAACTAAGTTAATAGTAAATAATTAAGATACAAAGAAACGACAAATAAAGGTAGTAATGAGTAAATAAGATTTTTCAATATTTTTTGCTGTCCATGATGGAGGGTGAGTGGAGTTTAACTTTCAGGTTTTTTGACTATGCCTAATAACTGTATAGGTACTTGTTTAACTAGATACCAAGCTTTCATTTAGCAAGCCCTATAAAAGTTAATACTGTGTTAAAAGCATACTCATAAAATTATTTTTCTCCGTCTTTTCTTGAGAAAAGATTCTTGAGAATTATAGTGATTTTTGACAAAAGAAAATATAATTCAGCCGTCCTTTATATAAACCGCAAGCGCAAAAATATCACTTTCTTGCAGTCTTGATGTTATTTGGGTAATTTTATCATCAACCATAACATTATTTAAAAATTAATAAAATTAACTAATTAATAAACATTGGTAACGTGGTCACTTGGAAAGTCAAATGATGAAGGTGTGATTCTCTCACCTCTAAAGTTTTCATGTGGAAACCATTTTCCGGGTATTTTGTGCAGAAATCGAAAAAATGTGTTCAGAATAGTGGCTTTTTGCATTCTTATGAAAGTATTAGGTGATAAATCTATAACGCGGAGAGAATGCAGCAAATACTTATGTATAACTCCTGTACTGGAAAGCACCAACGGTACAATATATGCTTTATTCATTTTCCATATTCTAATAACTTATTCGGTGTATTTATGTAATTTTTCTGTTATAGTTTTTTGTAAATTGTGTGCAATATCAATTAAATAAGTTATTTTATTTATTTTATTTATAAGGGTTATGTCCGGTCTATTGTTGTGAATGGTTTTATCAGTTAATATTGCTCTATCAAAGTATATCTTGTAACTGTTGCTCTCCAAGACTGGTTTTGGTTTACTATATTGATAGTATGGCTGGGGTTTTTCTTGTATTAATTTATGTTTACTGGCTAGTTTTTGGTGAATCATATGGGCTATTTGATTATGCCGATGAGTATAATCCGTTTGGGTAAGGCTAGGACAGGCACTGGTAATATGTTGTATGGTTTCTGGTTGGCGATGACATTTCCGGCATTTATCACTTTTTAAGGTTGGATCTTTAAGAATGAACTTTTTATAATTCCTCGTATTAATTACCTGATCTTGTATGGCAATAATAAAGCAATTACACAATCATACGTTCTATTGCTGACTTCGGATGTAGATAATTGTATTTTGTCACAGTGGTTCTTATTTTAATTTCTAATTTATTAATATCTGCAGCTGACCACTTGACTACTCCGAAAGAATATGTAAGTACTGGTATGACATACGTATTTATTGGTTTAACTAAATTTTTAGAGTACAGTGTTTTTTTACAAATTTTATGTAATCGTCTAAAACATTCGTTGCTTAAATCTTTTTTTTATCTGTGTATGATTAATTGTTCTACCTTCATGTAAACCTAGATATTTGTAGCTTTCGTGCTCTCCCATAACATCAAAATAATCAGCCGGTTCATTACTCTGAGTTGCAATTTTACCTAATCTTAGTTTCAATATTTTACATTTATCCACACCAAAAGTCATGTTAATATCGTTACTAAATTCAGCAGTTATTTCTATCAAATTGTTTATTTATTTATCAGACTTATTTCTGTGCCTGATACATGGTATAAGACGGTGTAGTGGGCAGGCTCCTTAATGAGTGGAAAATCATCCTCATCCTTCTCAACTGCATAACTCGGTTTGCTGATTGAGTTTTTTGAGGCGATTGAGAGAGTTCAGTTAGCTGATCGACAATTTGAAGAGTTACAAGTTAAATATTTTCAATTATATTTATCAAATATAATTATCAACCCATATTTATCGTGATAATTATCAAAGATAATTATCAATGATAATTATCTTTTCGAACCCTGTTAGTTCCTGAAAGACATGTGAAGTCAACCAACTCGCATTTGGCCTTATCCGTCTCGCATTGGTGACGCTAATAACATGGTAATGTAATGCATACAGTATTCCAACTCGGGCCTGTCCTTGAAATAATTACCTACAGCCAAGCGGCACGTAACCACGCGACAGGGCTGCCCGCCGGCCAGTATTTCAATTTCATCTATCTACTTGAGTTTCTTTCTAATTTTGTGAATTCAAATATTATATTTTTTATTTAAAACATATAATATTTTTTAAATAAAAAATATAATATTTGAATGTAGATTTAATTAAAAAATGTCAAATTTATAAGGGTGGTATGTGACCCTTATAAATTTGAGATTTAAAAATATTTGCGCCTCGACTGAGACGTACGAAAAGCTTTATTGTTAAATTTAATAGTATAAAGAATACCGCATTCGGATAAAAAGTTTAATTAAAAATACTTTAATTTTTATTTTTAATTTAATTAATTAGTTTTTATTTTTAAAACATACGATGTCTCGATACTTTTTTTGTTTGACATAATAGCGAATTTACGGGAGGACTAAAATGTTTATTTTTGTATCAAATTATAAAAGTTACATAACAAAACCATCTTATAAAATTTTCGTATCAAATTATACGATGTGGCAGCCCCGCGCGGTTGTCTACCGAGTGTATACCGAACGCGACGCGCGTAGGTAGGTATAACTCGATTTCCGACCTTTTGTATGAAGATGGAATACTGTATGTAATATTACCGTGATAATAATCAGCATGGTACGACGCTAAAAATGGCTGAAATATTGAAAACATCTTGTTTTATTATTTTAAGTAATACTTACAAGTAACATGTACGTACCTGTACCACAGTTTTAAGGTGGTGCCAGTTTTAAACCGGACCATGTATCAACTCACGAAAGATTTCTATTAGAGGCAAATAGACGTACAAGAGTAAAAAAGACATCTTAAGAATTATGATTAAAAAAAGACTTTTTTAAAATTATAATGGTACTCAAGCAGTATAATAATGAGATTAAGATTTAATATTAATAGTACAGTGATAAGTGAATGAAAAACTAAATGGTATACAAGTCTATGTTGGTGCAAGCTTTTATATGAAAAAAATGAAATTATTTTACTGAACATGTTCCAGAACTTCTTGCTATTTTTCTTTACCAGGAGAATCGAAAATTAAAAAAAAAC